AGTATAATACTAGGAAAAATAGTCCAAATGATTAGTTCTTACTGCATTTCAAGGAATGGAATATGTAGAAGCTCCTTTTACCATAATCCTAGAGCGCAACATTCCCACCAAAAACAACTACTGTAGTCCCAGGTAGAATCATCATCTGCGAGAGCCTGTTAACTCTGACATCTACCAACCCCTTGGGACCTCAACTATGGTCACCCAGGCAGCTAACAGGTCTTCCATAGACCGCTTTCCAGCTAGCTCCTCTAAGGACTCGAACACATCAAATGAAGAGAGCATCATGTGGTCTAGATATGTCTGCAAGGTGACTAAGGAGTCAGTAACCTCAGGCTAGGCTACCTCTGAGACGGTGAGGGATCTTCAACCATCTCACATTGCGCAGAAGCAGTTACAACTTCTTCGCGCAAGATGTGTTCACTTTGGGAACTACTCGCAATGCTTTCTCAGGATGAGAGTGCCTCATGCCCCCTACGAGGCTGCACCCTCACGGTGACCAACTCGTTTGAACCCTGCCCCTCAGTACGACCTTACACGTCACACTCTTAGCAAACATTCCCAACGGGTCAGTTTCCCACACACACATTTCAAGACTCTACTTGTTCCTATTGGTGAGCGTCCCATGCCCCCTATGAGGCTGCACCCTCACGGTGACCAACTCGTTTGAACCCTGCCCCTCGAAACGACCTTACAAATCACACCCTTAGCAAACATTCCCAACGGGTCGATTTCCCACACACACATTTCAGGACTCTACTTATTCCTATTGTGGACTCTTCCTATTGGCTCCTAGACTAATTATCTTACTACAAATCAGTCGCCTTAGCCTTCTCTTTAGATGACCAGCACTTCTCCCTCAGAAGTCTTCTGATCGTCGACTGTTATCTTACTACAAATCAGTCGCCTTAGCCTTCTCTTAAGGTGACCAACACTTCTCCCTCAGAAGTCTTCTGATCGTCGACTGCTATGTCCATCCCCCCAGAATCATGAACTCCCTCTGCCCCTTCCTGATTTTTTTCAATATGAATTCACCTGTAGGTTCTTGATCTTGGGGTAGCTCCTTCTTCCTCCCTTTGAGTGGACTCTGGGTCGCATTCTTAGGCTTATGCTTTATGCCTAAGACCGACCTATATAGGAAACGGTATTCGTATGCAATTCTGGTGGTCCCAAGGACTACCCCATTCTCTATTCTTTTATTACAGAGTAATCACGAGATCAAGGGTCCCCTACTGCATCCCTAGGACCCGTAGCATAAGACACCAGACCTCAGTCCAATAATCAAGGCCCCAGTCTTTACCCATTTTGCACTACTAACCCTTCTAACCACCGTGCTGCTGCAGCGATCACCTACTTCCTTTGACATTCATTTATATTCCTAATGTGCGTCAGCACCTGCCTCCACCAAACGTCGAGGGCTTCGTCCTTCCTACTGTAGCAAACTCCGTTTATGCTAATGATGCATTCGGAACCCATTGGGTCTTACCATCAATCTACACTGCTGCTTGTTGTGCAAGTTGGGGTATGTGCGGCTGTTCTGTAGAAACAGTCGTCTGAAAGGAAGAAAAAGAAGCATATTGAGCCTGCATGTCTACAGCTAACTGTCCGCCTGACAGACTAGTACAAAGCCTAGCTAGAGAAAGACCTGACACCGACAGCATTCTAATCGTCGACGATGAGACAAGTAAAGGTTGACTTTCAGTCCAGACACTGAGCCGCGCACTCAAGGATGTACCAATTTGTCCACTTCTACAATCCACCCTCTGTATCTAAACATGGCTGGAAAGGAGAGAAGTTTTCATACTTTCTCGCACGGACATGGACTCTTGTATGCCTACCTCACATGCCTGCAGATCATGCTTTGCGTTACTGAGCCCATTTCCTTTCGATCCCTCTAACCTAACTTTGTCATTGTCTTCTCCACTAACTAGTATGGCCCTATCTCTAATCCTCTGCTTCCTGTCCTCTGCGTCTCTCACCTAAGCTTCTAACTAAATAGGAATGTTTAATGCCTCTTGAATGTCCAGGTGGACAAGGGTGGGCTGGAGCGGCTTGCTGAACTGCGAGCTCGCCATTTGACTTGAGACTGTTGTCTGACTAACACCTACTTGAGCAGATAGTGCATCAGCCTGCATGGCTTGTCTACTGGATCCTTATGCCGCTGCTGCTGTGGCAGCCTTTTCCGACTCTTGCTCCTTTTAGACCCAACACTACACACTGCTTTCAGTGAGGTCAACAGACCTCCTACATGGCAGCCTTCCTAAAGGCTCTGCGCCATGTCAGCCTCTATTAAGCGACTCCCTCCTACACTGCCACACTCCCACATCAGCTATAGCAGACCGCTGTCTGCACTAGTGTCCTCGCTGGAACCTACTACAGCATAGGGTCTGACGGATTTGTAAAATGAATATAATAAAATAATTATTCAGTCCGTATCCTCGCTGGAACCTAGTGTCCTCGCTGGAACCTAGTGTCCTCGCTGGAACCTACCACAGCTATAGCAGACCGCTGGAACCTACCACAGCTATAGCAGACCGCTGTCTGCACTAGTGTCCTCGCTGGAACCTACCACAGCATAGGGTCTGAGCGATTAGTTCTCCAACAGCAGCAGTAAACAGAACTGGCAATGGTAGACTACTTCAATTCTGGTCTAGAGTTCTGTTAGGTGTTAGCAGTCTGTCAGACCTCAACTAATCAAAATAACAGATGCATGTGGAAATGGAAATAAAAATAATAATAATAATAATATTCGAGGACCACTTGGAACCTTCCTTCCCTTGTATCCAACATACCGATGAGCATCATCAAGCAGCGGTGTGTAAGGTGTGCATTAGTGGCCCACCCCTATGCCCAGGAACTCGCTCATGACCAACCCTTTATTTATCCTCGCATGCAACGAGCCTTACGTCTGACTGATCTGCCTGATCAAGAGGCGGTTTAAGCACAGGCCGCAAGGTCTTCACGATTTATTTAACGTCGCAAACAGGACGACGATCACAGCAAGTGGACAGATCAGAACCGCGCCAAATGGTCAGTCCACGTTTCCTCTATTCGCGCAGCAACGAGACTTCAATGGACAAAGCAGCATGGTCTGTGTGTACTACTCCCATGGGTTGGCATGGTGACCGTGACCCATGCTTCGACCAAGGCCCTTCAGAGGCACCGCCCTCTCCTGCCAGATGCGCCACCGGGATGAATGTCGTCTCTCAAGGTAGAGAGCTCAGGACTCCTCACAGAAAGTAGAGGACACTCAACGTCGGACTCACTTTCTCACAGTAAGAAGAGATTGAGAGGGAAGATAATGTAAGGGAACAACGTACCTGAAGATAGCTGCCCCCAACCGCAGATTTCTCACCAGTTGAGTCGACGTGCATTTTGATGGTGGACCGGTCATATCCTTTGTACCACAAAAAATACAATGTCGTGCCGCCTCAGCCAAAATGTCATGTCAGCATGCTCTCATCACTCCACACCATACTTGCGGCGCATTTGTGCAGTGCGCGATGTGGTGCACTGCGCCATGCGGACTGCGCGCGCACGTGCGCGAAAGTGCGCACGAGGTGCGCCGTGCGCGCAGCGCATGGGGACGCGCTACCCCTGCGAGGTGCNTTCCATTTGTTGTGCATGTTGTCTATCTATTGTCACCGTTCTCCTATCCCGTTTCATCCTTGCACCTGGCAGGGGTGAGGTAACTGCTCTACCCTAGTTGACATGAGAACCTTCTGAACTTGCCGCGGATTTCTGTGAGCCTTCCACTACTAATTCCTGAAGATCTCCTCCCCCTCTTGATGTACCTTCTCCTCTCAGTCTGTTGGCGTCTGTTCTGGCTTGCTTCAGGGGCGATCGGTCGCTTGAGTCGCTTTGGGAGGATGTACCCCGTACTGTCTGCCGAAGCTGAAAGTCTGGTGTTGTGGTCCCGTATGGGACAAAAGCGTTTCCACTCGAGACTAGACCCAACGTAGGACCTGGTTCCAGGTACTCCGCTGTCCATCCATTGTCTCCTTGACCATTGAGTCTGGACCGTTTGTCGAGGATTGTGCCTGATCCCCAGGTTGGATCTTGATTCCTCCCTCCTGTAGTTCCTGAGAAGAATCCCTCCTGCGGGGCTAAGCCTTCGCTGGCTCCTGTTTCCGAAAAGTGCTAGTCTCCCAGCCTGTATCCCACCGAATATCTCGAAACGGGAGAAAAAAGCGGGTCCAATCTTGGGTACAACTCCTGGTGCTGGCTTGAATTTTGGCCCCACTCGTACTCCTGTTCCCGCCTGCCTAATCTACCCATTGATTGGGGAGATTGCTGTGAGTGACTTGGATCAGGATCACCTTGGTAGCTATTCCGGCTCTAGTCACCTTGTCCGTGACTCCGGGGAGACAGGTTTGTTGGGGCAGTCTCCTCTCTCAGAGGGACACCCTCGTAAAAGTTCCTGCTTGGTCCATGGTTATCCTCCCTTCTCCTCCGGTTGTCTTGTCTCCCTGTGGGACTTCACGTACATTCTTCCTCTTCGTGAAAATACCCCCTACATCTTCTGCACCACAACGTTGATGAGCAGACCGTCCTGAGTTCTCTCATATCTCCGTTGTCTGTTCTCACCCAAATTCGATCGACCATCCGGCCCCTGAACTGTGGGTCAATATCATATTTTAAATTCATTAATTATGGCTTTGAGCGATCCCTTATGGGAGGGTATTCTTTTGTGATCGCCCCAATCACTCTTCTCACTGCAGCTTTCGTGTACACTACTGCATCCAACGGAACTTGCAGCGCCATAACCCAGAACATACTCTCTAACTCCACTCTTCTCAACTCTCTCCACTCCAGGCGAGTCATCCACGCTCTGAAACTCATAGAGTAATGAAATCCCGAAGATCGAGACCTCGCCCTCCCTTCTACTGAGGAGCCATGCCGAGATAGTCTGGTTCCTGGCGACGTATGCCAATACATTCGGGCCTTCAAAACGGATAGTGCCTCGCTGGATGGGTTCTTCAAATATCCCATCCCGTGACCAGCCGTTTTCATATGCTCGGATCGGATCAGATCTGCCTTCAGCTTGCCAGGGAGATCTTTTGCCGCATCCCTGAACGCCGCTACCATGGTTCTCTCCTTTAGCCACGCAACCTTCACTCGATCGAACTCTGGATTTGCTTTGAAGACTGCTTCTCTGCCGACAATTTCCACTCCATCACAAGGAATATCCTTAGGGATATTACCTTCTTCGTAGCATTGTGCGATTAGTTATCTCACTCTTTCCACTGTCAGATCTGCGTCTGGAGCTGCTGGTGGAGATCTTGCACCCGTTTGAACTGGTTCCTCCATCATCACCTCAGGTCGTAGTTGAACATCCATTTGGGGTACCGCTGTTTTCCCCTCTCGATATGCTCTGGTGCGTATCCCATTACTGCTTCCAAGATCTTGAGATGTTACCGCCGTAAGAAAGAAAATCTGAGTACTTCCTACCCTATTCACTATGCACTGCTATGGTTTCAAGGTGTAAACCCTATCGTTAACTCTCGGCTTTCTGTCTATCATGATCAAACCATACTAATGAAACCCTTATGATTCCTATCTATGGCTACCCCAGACGCCATGAACCGCAGGATTACCACGTTGCCACGCTGCGTACACGTGGTGAAGGCAACGACCAGTTACCGTCGGCCCGCACGGCACGGGAACAGTACCAGGTAGACCACTGGCACTACAGTGCAGTGGCAGGCGTGGGTGAGAGCGCTAAGGCAGCGCCGATCGGCCAGGCCCTCCCTTTCCGATGCATCTCACTGGTTCCCGGTCAGCACCCACCGCCAAGAGCGAAGTCCTAGTCCAACCACTCTTTGACAACCCAGCAATATTAACTGCACAGGGCAGACCGACTCAAGGATCTCATCCTTCGGTAAAGCCTGGATACAACGAGGAATCCTCCGGGACAACGATCTGTGGGATGATATCTGTGGAAGCTGGTTCCCGGTTTTCGTATCAAAGGAAAACTGGGAAGATTAGGAGAAGTACAGAACAGACATACAATATTGGTCCAGGCCATACCTATAGATTGGGTCTTACTTTTGAATACAGAGAGGGCCGGCGCGGTGGGCACATGGTACAAAGAAGACTCACCGGTGGAGGGTCAATCCTTTTTCAAGCTCACAACAATCAAACCAGATGGACGCAGAGAATTCCAGGAACGGGAAAGGACAGAAGGCCAGCAACTAGTTTTAGTCGAACAGGAGGAAGAGACTACAGCCAGTCCAGTGGGACTAATTTCACAAGTAAGAGTCAAGGAACATTGCAATGCGGAGGGAGACTGGACCTGTACATTATGGGCGAACGGAACACCTGTTAGGAATCTTAAGTTGGATCCAGCGATGTGGAGGTGGCAAAATCCGGAGAGATGGCTCTCGGATTACACCTCAAGATGTGGATACGTACAACTGCAGACTTCGAACCCACCAGTGATAGCAGCTACAGAAAGACGGGTCAGGACCACGGCTGTGGATGCTGCGGTAATCTCAAGGTTAATGATAATATCATGAGAAAACTTACAGAACATTCCATCACAGCGAAAGGCAGCACCCCTGTGGATGCTCTCCATGATGGTGACACAGTCAGCTGTGTGGCTGAGCAGCAAAGGGATGAACGTTGAGCTTACCTGCAAGAGATGCAAATGGTCATTCAAGTCCACTACGCACCTCTGGCTTGCTTGCCCTGTGTCCCGAAGAGTGTGGGCATGGTGGACGGATCATTGAAACAGGATTTGTGAGAACTCCTTTGCTTGGGATGAAAACTGGATTTTATTCGGAGCAATAGCGCTTCAAACACAGGGCAGCAAAGAATGGGGCTATGTAGCAGTGGTCATTAGAGCCGTCATTTTCTGGGTCATCTGGGAGGAACCGAAGGAACCGAACACAGTGTTATTTGAAAAGAGATTCCTTTCGGACCTGGCTATTAAGGCAAAGATAAAGCTTAAACCACCATTACCTCCTGAAAGTGCTCCGCGTTAACGGCCAGCCAAAAGTGGAAATTGAGCCATTTCCACTTGGCTGAATCGGGCCTACCGGCCCAGGCCCATTCATCCCAAAATCCATGGCCGTTAACGCGGAGCACTTTGAGGAGGTACTGGTGGTTTAACATCGTGCTCGCAATCAAAGGTGACTGGTCTAGGAAGGTATCCAGAGCCAAGAACAAAAGCAGCGGAGTGAGATGGTTTCAAGAGAATTGGGCCAGGAAGGGGCGGTTAGCCTCAGTAGAAGGAGACGGGATGAAAATTTCGAAGTGGCTGTTCGCTACCTAGGGACAACCTGAACACTTGGTCCGCCATTCCACAGTAGGAAGGCAGAAGTTGAAAGGTAAGAGGGGTTGGAGGGAGTGTTAAAAGTGACTGGGCCATTCTAGGCCCGCAGTCCCAAGGATAGGGTGTGTAAGGTACAGGCAGGACACGACCAGCACACTCGGTCCACAATTTTCAGCAGTGGGAAGGCAGAAGCAGGGAGAGAAGAGGGGCTGGAGGGAGCGTTACAGTGAACAAGGACCAGGTTAGGTCCCCAGTCCCGATAATAGGGACTGAGAATGCAGAAACACAGTAGATTAAGGGTAGTCGTAGCCCTTGGAGGTACTCCCCAAGCCCAGGTAGGCTCCGGTGCAGAGGGGTGTCTGTACAGTAGCAGGTAAGGGAGTAGGAGCGCTAGATGCAGCAGTGTTCACAATAGTGGCAGTGCAGCTTATCTCGGACTTCTCAGTGTAGTATCCTAGACCCTCTTCTTACATTGTCTATCAGTAGTCTCCCCGTAGGATTTTGGTAGCGCTAGAAGAATCCTTTTCCCTGTAGGACTTAGATAAGATAGGTGGTAGTGCTAGGAAAGACGCAGCCTAAGAGCTGCTGGGTCTGTAAAAAAGACCTGCAGGCTTTCAGCCTGTAAGCTAAGCTGGATGATGCTTTCAGATATCAATTCTGAACCGGGAAGTATTGTAGAGGACCCCGGCCTCTGTGCTGATTTGAATAATTGAATTTGGTGAAGAGGGAATCCTGGCAGTTTCTCTGCTGACTCCCCGTGAGAAACGGGGAGCATCCAAGTGCCTGCCACAAAAAGAATGTTTTAGGCACTTTCCCGAGTATGTATCCTCCCTCAATTGTGGGAGCATTCAAGTTCCTGTCATGAATCTGAAGGCACTAGTGTTGCACACCATCTTTTCCCGTTTTTGTTTTTGTTTTGCTGCAAAAGAAAGGAAAAAAAGAAGAATCTGGGCTGTATCTGGCGTGCCCCAAAGGGAAGCACTACCCCGAGAATGTATTCTCCCTCAGTTGTGGGCAGATACTCGTGAACAGGATGGAGGACGTGCAGCCACCTTTTCCGCCCTTCCTTTTTTCTTCTTGCAACTAAAAAAAAAAAAGAAGTCCTTCGGGACATCCGTTAAAATTGGAACAATACAGAGACTGTCTCTTATACACATCTAGATGTGTATAAGAGACAGCACACACACACACACTCGCGTGCATGCAAGCACCACCAATTCAAGACAGTCTTCTTCTCCATCTCCAATGGTCACATGTCCCTGTCCTCCCGCCTTACCACCTTAACGCACTTCTCACTGTCCCTCTACATGCTTCCGCTTTCGAAAAAGCAAAGCCAAAACAGGTGTCACTGCTCTAGCCTCTAGATGTGCAAAATGAGTCTGGATATCCCGCTTGAATTTGGAGATATACACCCCCCTTTGTTTTTTGTCTTTTCCACATTTCGTGAGTGGTACGGCGAGGCCCATGCGCACTTTTTTAAATTTCAACCCAAAGGCCACCACCTGATATCTGAGGGCTTTCATGGAACCGCAGCATTTGATTCGATCAGGGAGATAGAACAGCACAGAACACTGGCAGAGGCCGAGTTTCTCTTCTAAACATGAAAATGGATCGATGCTGTAGACAGATCAGATCAGACGCAGCAAAACTGCCCACAAATTGAGCCCGTCCATATGCAGCGTCCGAAGAAAACCGCTCAAGCGGCCAGCAGGATTGAGGGTTGTTGGGGAGATATTGCCTTTGCCTTGTGCAGTTCTTTCTTCGCTTTCCTTACTTTGGCTTTTTTTGGGTTTTCTATTTTGTTTCTCCTTGCAGCTCCTCTTCAACTGTGCCTCTCGTGTACAAGGTTCGGCAAATTAATTGTCATCAAGCACAAGCTGGGCCAGCATCCCCATGTGCCACAATGGCTTGCACGCTAATAAATGAAGGCAGACCAAAGGGGGAGGGGTTATGTCCGTGCTCTTTATGATGGTCTGTCTGCTTTATGGTGGTCATTTGTTCTTTTTTATTAGTTGTGCAAGGGGGGAGGGAGGAGGGAGAAAGCGAAGGGGAGGGAGATCGGGGGGGAAGAGTTGCAGAAAGTAAAAACAAAGAAGTAGAGATGTTCCAATTGCAAGGAATATGAGCGAGAGCGATAGACTGAAATCCAAGTTGGAAAATCAAGAAGTAGCTCAGATAGTCATGAACCAAGCAGAGATTGCAATGCACCAAGATACCATCCAAATAAGAGCAATACAATGAACTCGGCTGTCAATGTCGCCACTCTCTGGTCACAGCAACACTGTATCCAATGTCGCACTTACTGTCTTGCGCCCAGCGCCCACCCTATCCTACTCAGCCTATCTAGCCTATCTACGTTCTCGCAACTGGATCACTCTGAAGTCGAAGACCAATGTACGTGACGTCAACACCAATGCCGATCACCAGCATACACCAGGTACGTTCTCTCTCCTCTCGTCATCACCCCTCGTCTCCCCACATCGTGTGCCTCCTACCTAAAGACCACCTTCGCCATCACCTGCCTTGCGCCCCTACAGCCTGGTTATGGCTGCTGTGCGCCCGCTGCCCTTGCACCGCCCCTCACCTCAACGCCCGTGCGCCCTTTCTTCCAGCAGTGCCCACGCAGACATTTGCGCAGCAACGCAGCTGCGTGTCTGCGTTGCCTGCCTAGGCCAGAATGCCTCTGTCAGAGCCTCACAATTTCCTTTATGGAAAGTGTGTCACCGCTGGCTGGCCTGGCCAGGTGTTGGGGGGGGGGGGGGCAGTAGCTTCGCTAAACCCCCAGGTGTCTGCGCCCAGGCCCAGCTCCCGATATTGGTATGGGCCTCGAGCAGTTGGGCACATTCAGGCAGCCACACAGCCTCCCAAGTGTTCGTCGCTTTCTCATTGGCTCACGGCTCATGTGTGACGACAATGCTGCATCCTCATTCGTCCGTGGCCACTTTGTGATGTGTCGGCCTCACACTGCGTGTGCCCAGGGCGCAACCAACCAGGCCCTGGGTTCAACTGTACAACGCAGCCCATGTTCCTGGAAAGAGCCAGAAGGCTCACGTTTCCCTGTAACCAACTGGCATGCTGCAACTGTCTGAGTACCCAATTAGGGAAAAATGTCGGAAATAGGTCTCACGTGGATATTCAGGCCCGCCTTCACTTACGGCAGGCACAAGGCTTTGCTGGGGGGCTCAGCCCAGAACACATGCATGGCTGACAAGGGTCCCGCAAGGGTTCATTCCTTGCACAATTTTCTATCTACTCGTTTACGTGGAAAGGGGTTGTTGTGGTGACTGCTGAAAACACACACACACGGGGTAGGAGCACGCTCTGTCTCTTGCAACTCGAAAGAAAATTACAACTGCAGGACAAACCAGTTTTGAAACAAAATCACCCGACGAGTCTGAGGTGGGAGGCATGGATCATGACAAAATGGAAGAATACCTCAGTGGAGGGGGGCATGATGGTTTTTAGATACTGAATTTCCTCATCCCTGAATTTGAAATTCGCAATGAAACGGATGCACTCCTCCAATCCAGCAAACACAGTAAACTCTCCACTGAATGGATTTTTCCGGTGCAACAGATCGAATCTGAAAACATGTCAGCACATCCATTTGCAAGGAATATGAGCAAAAGCGATATACAGAAAGCCACGTTGCGAAGTCACACAGATGTCCAAGTAGTCATGTACAAGCAGAGAGCGCAAATGCACCGAGATGCCATCCAGATAAGAGCAATACAATGAACTCACGAGCCAATGTCCAAGCCCTCATGCCACACCAACACCGTATCCAATGCTGCTCCTACTCTGTCTGGCGCCCAGCGTCCAGCCTACACTACTCGCCTATCGTACTACACCAACGTTCACACAACAGGCTAACTTCGACTTTGAAGACCAAGGTACACAACGTCAACACCATAGCTGACCCCCCTCATGCACCAGGTATGTATCTCGTCTCTCCCCTCATCACCCCTGACTTCCCACAGTGTGCATTCTCAACACCCAAAGACCACCGTCGCCATCCAGACCTGCCCCCAGCAGCCCAGCTACGTCTGCCGTGCGCCCACTGCCCAGCAGTGCACCTCACACCCCGGCGACAATGCGCGGGACCCAACCGGCAGCTTCGTGCAGATCACGAAGTTGCAACGCAGCAGCGTGGCCGCATTGCCTGCCTAGTCCAGAATGACCTGCCCAGCGATGCTCACTTTCCTATATGGAAGTGAGCTCAGCCTCTGCTGCCTCTGTGCCTGCTGGGGAGCATCCAGTGGCTTCCAGTCGGGCCTCAATGCCTGCACACAGGCCCAGTTGAAGTTATGGGCCTTGGCCCTTTACAGTTGGGCACGTCCAGGCAGTCCACAGGTGTGGCATACTGATACCATACGAGCCCCAGTTAGGGCCCGGTTCTGTAGTAGGCACGGGTTAGGCCTAGGTGCCAGGTCACGACGATCCCAACCGTCGGTTCAGATTAAGAGCTGAGTAGGCCTAGTTTAGACCCCACCAGACCCAACGGCTAGTTGGGTTAGGCCAGGTACCGGTCCATCGGTAGGACCGGCCGGCGGCGCAGTTTAGGCGCCACCTTACTTTCAGATTTCGGAATCGGATCTGAACCGTTGGGGCTGATCAACGGTCCAGACCCGAGACCGGGCCAGCACTATATCAGCTGGGTACCAGCCTCAGTAGGGAGGTTAGTCTACAGGTTAGTACCGCATTTCGGTTGGCATAGCGGAGCAGCAGGGAGAATTAGCATACAGCGAGTAGCGCCGGCCCTCTGGCTCTGTCCGCAGCCCAGCACCCAGCACTGAAGCGCCATAGCTGCACCGCCAGGCTCGGCCTCAGCAGAACATCAGCCGGGACAGCGCGGCCATCCAGGTATCAGGGAGAAAGGATCCGACTTTCCTCCCTCTTCCTTCTCTCCTTCTCTGCTCTCTCTCTCTCTCTCTCTCTCTCTCTCTCTCTCTCTCTCTCTCTCTCTCTCTCTCTCTCTCTCTCTCTCTCTCTACTCCTGCCCTCTAAGTCTAAGTCTACTTCTTGGGTTACTCCTACAGGACTATTACGAGTACGAAGAGTGGTTACGAGTTCTGATGATATTGGAGATAGTAACATTGAGACTGCACGTTGAGGACTACTTTTGGGATCTGATTTCACCTACCTGTGGAGATTTATCTTAACATTGTGAGATCGATATCTGAGACACTGTGCGACTGTATTCGCGACATTTCGGATTTTCGCTATTTCTGACATTTCGAGATACTATTTTTGGAAACATTGAGGTGACGTCATCTTCCCTCTCCTCCTCCCTCGTCTCTCCTCCCCTCCATTCATCCATGTATGAGAGTGGCCCCGGCCTTTTCTTCCATGTCCAAGGCCAGGGCTTTCACACCACCGCTGTATGTTTGTGAAAGATTGGTTGCAGTCTCAGGTTTGAGTCCGTCCATGTGTATCAAGTCTTCCGCTGTAATTGTACTTACTCTGTATTATCTGGTCGGTTCTGGGAATCTGCGCCATACTTATGACTGTGTTTCACGAGTATGCAACAGTTTGGTATTGGAGCAGACCAGCATTGGATGACTCATCATCAATCGATAGATTGATGGATCCAGCTGCTCAACTAGCGCTTGATCAACCAATTGATTAATTGATTGATTGATTGATTGTCTTTCAGCTGTATTCTGTTATCATTATTCGCAAGTTGCAAATTTTTTTCTTCTTCTTCTTACATAGCTAATTAGGTCTGTTGAAACCTATTTTTAGTTTGGCAGCTCTCTTCAAGTTGCACGAAATTAGGAATTGTGCAATCGCGATTAACCTAATTAGCGCTGATTAGGGTTAGGGCTAACCTAATTTAAAGACTGAACGACCTATCGGACTACAGGAAGTAAGCGCCAGCCAGGCACCGCGCCCAATTAAGGCAGAACGGGCCTGAGCACGGCCACATTCAACTGCAGCTTCACGGAACTTTCACTTTTTGCAAATCGCATCTTTTTGGCGATTAAAGTTTGAATCTTTACAGCAAATTGTGCATCTTCCTACTACCATTGAATAATGTTTGCCAAATTAAAAAATATACATATTTAACGAAGTTCTATTAAATATTTAATTAAACTTTTCAAATTCATTTTTTTTCAAGGGGGGGGATTTTTTTTTTCTTTTGATTAAGTGTCAGGTCCTAAGTCAGGGCAGAAGGGACTGTCTGTGCACTTGCTTGCCCCCCCTCCCTTCTTCCCATCCCTACCTTCTCTCCCCTCCTCTCGGTTACGCAGACTTCAGCCTCGGCCACGTCAGCACTGCGCCATCTTCAGCAGTGACATGTCCGCAGCTACGCGGAGCCAGGCATGCTAGATGCGCTGCAGTCAACAACTTGCTGAGAATCCAAGGGAACTAGGCCCCAGCAGGGACCCAAAACACCTCGGATCCCGCGGAGACCACGCACGACCATGGCCAACGCCGACGCCAACGCGCAAGACAGCCCCAAGAGGCCGGTTACTCCTCCCGTGCCAGTTCAGCAGGCCGATGAAACGCAACTGGCGTTTCTTGAACGTCGACAACTATACACGGAGATTGCTGCAGCCGAACTTCGCAAATGGGAAGAGGAGGATGCCGCCCGCCGGCATGTGATTCAACGCCAGCTGGCAGAGGCGGAGGCAGTGCGTCAGCAGGCCGCAGCAGAAGCTGCAGCAGCTGCACGGTTACAGCAACAGCAGGTGGAAGCAATTCAGAATCAAGTTCGCTACCAAGCCACAATGGCGCTCGCCAACGAAGAATCTACGTCAAATCTTGGCGTGCTGCAACTGTCTGATACCCACATATGGGGAAAACGTCAAATCTTGGCCTCTTGTGAATATTGAGGCCCGCCTTCACTTAGGGCGGCCACTGGGCTTGCTGAGGGCCTCTGCCCAGAACACTCTCTCTCTCTCTCTCTCTCTCTCTCTCTCTCTCTCTCTCTCTCTCTCTCTCTCTCTCTCTCTCTCTCTCTCTCTCTCTCNCTCTCTCTCTCTCTCTGTGTGTGTGTGTGTGTGTGTGTGTGTGTGTGTGTGTGTGTGTGTGTGTGTGTGTGTGTGTGTGTGTGTGAAGATGTGTCCAAGACACATATTGCAAACGCTTCTGTACATCACAGAATGTACACCAAACCGTTGTCACTTCACTGGAAGTGACTCCATTCAAGGACACCCACTCACCATTCGTATACTCCTAGCATTTCCATTACAGAAGACAGAGCTGACCATCAGGGATGCAAGGGCATCGCGGATGCATCAAAAGCCAACCAGGTGAATGGTTATGCGAAAACGCATTCACAGACAAGAGCACGCTCGGCGAGATGCAAAAGAGAGATGCAACCGAGAGAGATGTGAAAGAGAGAGAGATTGCAAAAGAGAATACAGAAAACATTAGAGATACAAAGATGCCGAACAGAAACAACAACAACACCAGATCTTCCGCCTCCCAGTCACCATACATTCATTCACTGGTAATACGCTATCATCAGACATCCTCTACAGTCACAGCCCACCGTGTTCATAAAGTCCTAGTAGCCCGAGATCGAACCGCTCAGTGCCGATGTACCGCCTCCTATCCCGCTTACTACTTCGTAAAAAGCTACAAATAAAGGCAATGTAAACCTACGCACACCTCACTCTCAAATCCAACTCCCCGTAATACACTGATCAAGCGAGAACAAGCTGAAAAAAAGCTGACAAAAAGTGAAAAAAGCTAAAAAAGAACCCTCCTAAAAAGAATGGAAAGAAGCGGAAAGAATTGAAAACCAAGGTACGATTCCTCATGACACAACAGTTTCCTTATCTCGACGACATGGCATCTTCGATCGTGCCGCAATAGGTTGCTCAGACGCGAACTGCACTCATAATACTATCCAACCACCCGTAGTGAATACTACGCGAAATCCCATGCATTCCACAGGTTCCCCCATCCCCTAAGTTCCCGTCCACTCATTCCTTGCTCTCACCCTCATCCCATAACTAGTCGCCATCATTGTGCATCCATATCCCGAACTCCATCCACCAACGGTCATCCGAACCAAACACGGAGTCTAAACTTAGGCAATAGCCTTCATCCCATGCTTCACCCGCGATCCTTGAGATCCTTGAGCATACGCTCCTCAGACTTTCATACTCCACACAATCTATCCGCTCTCAGCATTGCCTGGTCAGAGCCATAGACAACAGAGAACAACATACCCGAGATCCCATCCCATGCGGAGACAGGAAAGAGCGAGGGGGGAATAGCTGGGAGGAAACAAAAGGCAAAGGAAGACAGCTTCCCAACCCATACATCCCACGATACCACCACAAGTCCCAGGCACTAATAGATCGTACGACACCCCTACGGAAGCGCACGGAGGCACATGGCAGCACTCAAGGACACGCACCCGGATACGAAAGTACACGAAAGCATACGAAAGCACACAACAGCAGACGAAGGCACACTACAGCACACAAAAGCACAGGAAAGCACACGCCTGGGGAAGCACACGAAAGCACACGAAAACAGACAGAAGCCCACGAAAGCACACGAAAGCACACGACAGCACGCGAAAGCACTCGGAAGCCCACGAAAGCACACGACAGTACACGA